GACGTGCGTATGTAAATATAGACCTCGAGTGAATGGATCATTCTTGCAACACAATGCTTTCACGGTTCCGAGTCGATGTGCATATATCTATCTGTTCACCATTTATCCTTGGACATTTGATCAATTTTAATAGTGAAATTTCAACATGTCACAGTTTACACCTATGCCGGAGCGAAGCGAAGGCATGTCTTGTTCAGTAGCAACACAATGCCGGACATGAATAGCGGTGTCTTCAATGACACTGAGGACAGTGGGCGATACAGATATTGAACAACAAAACACGCCTGGCTAAACCACAGCGGATTATTGAGCCGGCGCTCCTGCTGGATCTGTGCCACATGTGCATGCGCGAGCAGCGGTGTTGAATATAATCCGTGTGTGCTAGTACGTGCAGTAAAGAATAGCGGATTTGTCATCTTGATTGAGATTGTCGGGATTCCAGCGAACTGCAGGCCCTAATAAATGGCATTTTTTTAATCCAGAAAGTGAATAACGGGGAATGCACGGTGCTCTGGGATCGTCTCAAACCAGGTGTTGCTACCCTGCCGTCCACGCCGTCCGGCTCGAACCTCTGCATGCGAACTACGCAGGCTACACCTTATATGCCTCCCCCTCCCTCCTTCCCGTCCCCTTCCCGCCTACGCGACGCGCCTACTTGTCGACATCTGCCGGGACACTCCGATGCAAAGCCCACCCCATTATTTTCCAAACCCACCACATTATCCCTTAGCTCGAAAAAGATCGGGGGAGCCGGTGTATCTCGCAAAAGAGGTCTACACGTATCGAGGGCCTCAAGCGGAGTCTATCTCCGACCAGCATCCCGCTAACGGACGATTTTCGTGGCACGGGGCGTGAGTGAGTGCTTATTTGTTATATTTTTCGAGAATAATGAACGGCAGGTGATAAGGGTCCATCCAAAGCAAGTTATATAATAGTTCACTGGTCTTCAGAAATATTGGAAATACTCATGTTCTTCGATAGTTGGCGCTCTACCACAGGATTTCACGGTGGTCTTCGATACTGGATCGGACGAGTTGGTAATCCCAGGTACGTGGTACGAGGGAATTACGGCCATCGTTTAACATCTCTTTATAGGCACGAGCTGCACGACGTACTGCGCAAATCAGAAGAAATTTGACCCAACTCAGAGCTTGACATTCAAACCTAATGTATGGGCGGAAATGAGCATAGCGTGTTTTTTTGCGAACACATTCGCAGCATCGCGATTTTTTAAGCATTAGGTCTTTCACTAGACATTTTTCTTGGCCTCAACCTAGTTCATGACTGCAAATTTTCGAAAATTGACCGAACTAAACCGTTCTTTATTTTTCGGACAGTATATGTGCCATAAGGTTTCACCAAAACACCCCCAAAAAAACATGCAATATACCAGCGCACCATTGACATGTCCCCAAGTGCCGATTTAAATGCACGAAGACCTAATAGCGAATTGGTATCGTGTCCGCTGGCGTTCAAGTATACTACTAATACTTTCTGTGGAGGTCCCTCATTCGAGTTGAGGTTACATAATTATTCTTCACTTCCGGTTATTCCCGGAGTCCCATGGTCGGCCCGAATTTCGAACTTGTATTTTTCGCAGAATGCGAGACATGTCTCAGACCCCCTCGGATCTTTCGCTTCACTGGACTTCATTCATCCTTCCTTATACTTAAATTGAACAGCATAGTTTTATGCCGACGCAGGGGAGGCCGAATAAATGTCTGCATAACAATGCAGGGAAAGAAGATAAAACGCATACCAGTCGCTGGCCCTCGAATGAAAGAAAGAACCGGCTGCATGACGATGCGTCAAAAATCAATGGAGCTCCAATAATGGTTCGTACCCTTTTTTTGCGACAAATGTGCTACATCAGGAAAACCGTAGCCGAGCCATATTTCCGCCATAGTGCCATACCACTTCATAAGGTAGGGGACATACAAATACAGTTACATAAGGTAGGGGACATACAAATACAGTTACCCCACGTGACATCACCTTATTGGGCGAAGTTCAGAATGTTTCCGTGAATCCTCCCAACCTCTGTAGAAATTAAAAAAATACGGCCCAACAGTTCTCTTTGAATGTTATCTAAGAATGCTTCTAAATATTTTGGGGCTTTTAGGTTATGAAATGAATGACTAGTTCCAGAATCTAGCGGGATTGATGGCAAATGTAAGTTCCCATCATTTTGGGAACTCGTCCTCCATTTCTCCACTGAAATTTCTCAAAATATTGAGGAACTGTCTTATGATACATTCACACAAAACTGTTGAGCCGGATTTTCAATGCTCATTCTACAAGCTGAGATTCGCTCAATTTGGGTCATCACGTGGGGCAACTGCACTTGTATGGCCGCTACCTTAGCACTCATAGCACTACCTAGTGCTGTCAAGCCCTCCTGTGCGTGCTATGCAGTACTGTGAACCGCTGTCAACATTGTCCTGCATTTACTAGTCTACACTGACTCGGATGTCGCGGATTCCATAACACAATATTGGATAGTCAAGCTTATTATTAGAGCAGACACTTTCAGCCTTTGAGTGCAACCTAGTGCAACACAGTAGCGGCACATTCAAAGAAAAATCTTGTGTAATTTAGCACTGTAGTTGTTACACAGTTGCGGCTGGATGGTCTTTCCGAATAATACAGAAGTACTATAGCCTAGGGCTCCGGAATCCAGCGGCCATTTCCTCATGGTGAAGTACTGGTTGACCGGGACTATGGCAACGGCGCCGACATAGAAAAACGCCGATGATATGCAAGATGAGATCTGAGGCGATATCAGAAGGAAGGCTGGCGAAGGGGCCCAGAATTGCCTGGATAGTGGATAAGGGACCGAGCCTGTGGTTTTGGACCACAGAGCCGCAGCGCAAACATGATCATAGTCAAGAGACAAAGGATCGGAGAGTGGGAAGTAATTTCAAACTCCGCCATCCATCACATGAGGTTCGTCTCTTTGTCTCTTACCACCATCTTCGCTGCACAGTCTCCTCCAAATCTCCTCTTCTCCCCGCAACCTCGTCCTATAAAGACAATTGGAACTTGCCCACTTATTCTACAAGCATCTTTTGCCGCTGGCACAGGTCACCATTGCGCGCACGGCTCAGCACTGGCTACAGGGAGCGGACGAGATGGACGCGGGTCTGTACGGTAAGCCTCGTGTCTCTCCTTCCTCACATGATACTAATGTCTACATGTCTTTTCTCCCCCACAACTACACCTGTGCACCGCTGGTAGGTTGTGCTCCTTCGCATACCCACCCCCAGGCTTGTGGCCACCTACGGGTACAGTGGCTATCATAACGGTGTCAAGGCGAGTGCCCCCGTGGGTTTTGTGCTGTTTACCTCACTAATCCACTCTTTCTCTTTGTATTTATTCCGGATCTGTCCCCTCATGCCCGTCAGCGACATTCCCAAAGTATGTTGTCGAATGCCGCTGACATATTTGTAGCTAATATTCATATAGGCCTGCTCCCGATCCTGCACCGGCGCCTCGTAGTAGAGCTCATAGTTTCCTGTCGCTACCGAATACGCGTCGTCCAAATGGTACGCTGCTCTCCGCTTAAATTAACTTATGTTTGACCAATCCCAGTGTTTGGACTCAAGAAACCACCAACGGCTCTACCTGCGTACGTATATCCCGTTTCTTGCTGCATAAGCCCCCTTTCTGACCATATCCCAGCAGTTTTGGCCAAGAGAAGATAGCGCGGTAAGTGCAGTAGGCAGTAGTGTATTACTATTAGGTCTCTCGGTAGATATTAGTTGTATTTCATACCTCGTTGAATAGACACGCTATCATTCCTATTATTCTGGCTGAACGAGAGTGAAACACCCCGAAGCACCCCAGATTCTATTGAGCAGTTTCCCAAACCCAAAAAGGTGTGTCTGCATAGTGCTGCATAGTGCTTCACAGCGCTGCATAAAGGGGATGAAGGTATGGCGCTATGATGCTATGCAGCACTGTCAAGTGCTGTCAAACGTCACCTTGTTTTCCTGATGTACAAAAAATCTGTGCACCGCAAAATCTAAGCATGCACGAGACTTCCGGATGGTTTCACGCAAAGAACAACGGTGGAGTCAAGATACATAGCGTTGAATGTGTACACCCAGGGAGGCGTGGTACGTGGACGTCGTGGCCAGCTGCCAAGAGTGCTGACGTATGCTACAACATCCTATCCTAACATGACCATACAGTGTCCCTCCGATACCGTCCGCACCCGAGGACCAGCGTAGCTGGTCCACCATTAAAAGATACGTCAAAAGATGGGAAGGAAGGCAGTAGGCCCGGGAGGAATGAGGGCGCACTAGCACGCCCAAGCCTAAAGAGCTGTGCGACGCGCCATGGAGGGAAGCGGAAGGCAGCGGAGGAGAAGCGGAGAAGATGAGAGGAGAATAAGAGCGGAAGATAACGAAGGCGAGCCATCGCGCCGAATACACGAATGAATAAAAAGAATTTATTCGAAAATTTGCGCGTCGCCCGTGGTCGCGATCCACCCGCTCCACGGCGGCTCCGTCCACGCGGGCGTCGACATGCCAAAGGCGGTGCGTGCTGCGCCGACAACTTGGTTAGGCGCAGAATAGCATAGAGTTTGATTCCTCACAGTCAGTCAAGATTGCCACAACTCCGATTCTGCCTCCAACTTGCAGTGTCAAGTGTGGGTTATCCTCTCCTAGCAACAATGGTAGTAGTGGTATTCCGGCCAGTGTCCCAGATCGATGCCCTGATTCCGGTCGGCGCCATCGTAGAGGGTGCCAGCGCAGGAAGAGAAGCTGGCGGGATTAAGTCAGCTCCGCCGACTTGTTCCCCATCGGCGTACTTGCATTTACCTATCTGCTTGCATTACTTGCGCGCTTCTCTGCTCGGACTGGAATACGCTATCAGCTGCTAATTGCATGTATCCCTGCGCTCCAACTCGGGCTCTAAGTGTGGCTGTCCCTCAGCCTTTCCCCAAAACCCCAAATATTCACGCACCAACCCGAGTTCCGAATTATACGCACAAGGACCTAATAGCGAAATTGGTATCGCATCCACTACCATCGAGAAAGAACCCGTGAAAGGCCCTCGTTCGAATTGAGGTTAGGTCATGGGCCATTTACTTACTCCAAAGTTTTTTTTTTTGCTCAGCATAAAAATAAATTCGTACCAAGTGAAGGTTGAAGTATAAGAACAAAACCTAATAGCGAAATTGGCATCGCGTCCACTGCACTTAACCTGGCACCAGGAGTCAAAGTGGAAGTCCCTCGTTCGAACCGAGGTTAGGTTGTATGTAGTCCATATCTTTTTTTTTTTTTCTTTCTTTTTTCACTCAACAGCCAAAAGCCCAAAACGATCACAGACACCAATCCAAGGGCAAGCAAAAGGGGGGAAGACTTAATAGCGAAGTTGGTATCATGTCCACTCTGGTTAGGCTGAGTATCAGCTGCAATATGTGGAAGGCCCTTGTTCAAACCGAGGTTAGGTCCTACTCCAGCCACCGACGTTTTTTTAACATCCCCCCAAGTGCTGGAAAAAAATACAGCAGTAAACCAGGCACAGAATTACAAGAGCAAGACCTAATAGCGAAATCGGTATCGCATCTACCTTATTACGTGGAAGTCCCTCGTTCGAACCGAGGTTAGGTCCTTTCGCCATTGCAACTGTTCTTTTTTCTCAATTTTTCATTCAAACCCACACCAAGACCGTGCAATAATTCCGCACTATTTTAGGTTCGATTAGTAGGTAGGAAGACCTAATAGTGAAATTGGTATCGCGTCCACTCTGATTAGGCCGAAGATCGTCTGCAATATGTGGAAGTCTCTCGTTCGAACTGAGGTTAGGTCCTATTGTAGCCACCGACTTTTTTTTATCATCCTACCAAGTGCGGGAAAAAATGCAGCAGTAAACCAGGTGCAGAATTGCACCAGGAAGACCTATTAGCGAAATTGGTATCGTGTCCGCTGCCTCTGTTGGGAACACTTGAGTATGTGGAAGTCCCCGAGGTTAAGTCCTTTTGTTCAACCCGCACAAAAATCATCAAATAAATTTGCGGTAGGCCGGGCCTCAGAATTACAGGAGCAAGACCTAATAGCGAAATCGGTATCGCATCCACACTTGTTAGTAGAGCGGGTAAGTGTTAGTACGTGGAAGGCCCTCGTTGAAACCGAGGTTAGGTCTTTCGCCTTCTCCTACCGTCCTTTTATATCAATTTTTCATTCAAACCCACACAAAGACCGTGAAATAATTCCACACCAGTTTAGGTTTGATTAGTGGGTAGGAAGACCTAATAGCGAAATTGGCATCGCGTCCGTTGCCGGTTCAAAGTTTTTCAACACATTGTGTGGAAGTCCCTCGTTCGACCCGAGGTTAAGTCTTATGTCACAAAATACTAGATGATGAACCATGTCTAATGTCGATATTTATACACACAGGTGTACTCCATGCAGCCGAGTTCAATCCGATTATTCGGGCCATGATCAAAACAGAAATTAACGGGACTATGAAAAATGAGGTACTTTCTTTAACCTTTGTTAACGCTGCGAAAGTATCCAGGCTTTTTGTGTGGGTTGAATAGAAAAAATATACAACACCAGAAGCCTAAGGACCTAACATCGATTTGAACGCGGGACTTCCACACAACAAGGGATTATTTAATGCAGCGCCGACTGAGATGGATGCGATACCATTTTAGCTATGAGGTCTTCCTGGTCCCATTTAACTCTCATTTATTAGTGGCTTATTTTCCTCCAACACTGTGGGAGAAAAAAAGACAGATGGCTCATACCCATGACCTAACCTCGGGTCAAACAAAGGGCTTCTACATAATTCAGAAGCTGTAATGTAATATAATATATTCAGTTTCAATTTCAAGCATCTTGAAAATAAGAGTTTAAGGTGCAACTTCAGGCATACTGAAAACTTGCATCTGGCGGTGTGAGGGTAACTGAATGGGAGGAAATACCTAGTGGCGAAAATGGCATCGCATCCACCCCAATTGGCTTGGTGCATAAGTTTTGTAGTGGAAGTCCCTCGTTTGACCCGAGATTAGGACATTCCCCTGGCTGTCTTTATTTATTTTAGTCGCACACCAAAAAAAAAACTGTTATGAACGGCAGTACAGAATTTTGACAAGACCTAATAGCGAAATCTGCATCGCGTCCACTGCACTTGAGCGTGTACAACATTGCTTCTGTGGAAGGCCCTCGTTTGAGCGAGGTTAGGTCCTTGTCCATTGCTGCCTTTTTTTTCATTCACCTCATCCAAAAACCTCATATAGTCACACACCGATCCAACGACAAGTAAAGGGGAGGAAGAACCTAATGGCGAAGCTGGCATCGCATCCACTCGCACTACGAAGGAACTCCTGGATCTGTGGAAGTCCCTCGTTTGAATCGAGGTTAGGTTGTGACCCGTTCTTCAGATCTTTTCCCTCCTCCCTCATAATTTTGCAGTATACGAGGATTTGACGAGGCTTAAAGGGAGAGCAGGAGGACCTAATAGTGAAGTCGGCATCGCATCCACTGTACCTGTCTGGGCCCGCTTATACACTAAGTCAGCAAAAGAAATGTCACATCAGTTTTTGGACTATATCTCAACATTGAGACAACATTTTTGGGTCAAATAAAGTGTAGGAGCATGGAAAAGGAGCCTACGGACCGTTCTGTACAAGTGATAAGATCAAAATATATTGATGCGCCATCACTTGAGGCCGAATACGGAAAAAAACCGGAAAGCCAATTTTTTTTTCTTGAGCTAGGATTTTTTTGAGCACAAGCCGAAGCCATCAGATTGTAGGCTATGATGTTCTATACTATCCCACATTTTGAAATGTGCAAAAATATACAGGGGATATTGCGATAAGTGGCCCGCAAAATGACCACTTTTATCCATTTTTGGCTGTTTTGGCCTGTTTTTGGCCATTTTTGGCCACTTATCGCCATTTTGGAGGCCACATATCTCACTATCCCCTGTATATTTTTGCACATTCCAAAATCTGGAATAGTATAGAACATCATAGCCTACAATCTGATGGCTTCGGCTTAAGCTCAAAAAAATCCTAGCTCAAGAAAAAAAAATCGGTTTTCCGGTTTTTTCCGTATTCGGCCTCAAGTGATGGTGCATCAATATATTTTGATCTTATCACTTGTACAGAACGGTCCATAGGCTCCTTCTCCATGATCTTACACTTTAGTTGACCCAAAAATGTTGTCTCAATGTTGAGATATAGTCCAAAAACTGATGTGACATTTCTTTTGCCGACTTAGTGTATCACTTCTGTGGAAGTCTCTCATTTGAACTGAGGTTCTTCGCCTCATCTTGTCTTTTTTTTTCTCCCTTAGACTTTTACACCAACCCAGGACTAAGGAAGAAGCAGAAAAACCTAATGGCGAAATCGGCATCACATCCACGCTTGATGTAGAAATCGTTGATTTATGTGGAAGTCCCTTCGAATAGAGGTTAGGCTCCCGAGATCCTTTTTTGTGTCTCATATAAAAAGGCTGAAATAAATCCGCACTAGTCTAGGTTCAAATTTATAGGAACAAGACCTAATTGAGAAGCCGCATCCACCTATCCTGACCAATGGTCACATTTCGGTGGGAAGTCCCTCTTCGAACGGAAGTTAAGTCATGGGTGTTGGAGAACAATTAGCCACTAAATGAGACTTAAATGGAGAGCAGGAAGACCTAACCGAAAAATTGGTTGCATCTGCTCAACCTATCTTGATTCAGCCGGCATTAGTTGTTCGAGCCGCGGTTAGGTTGTGAGCGCATACTCAAGTCCTTTTCTCTTCTTACTTGGCCATTCCCACTCATTGAGGTTTATTTGAACTAGTATCACATCTGCGTCAACTTCGTGTATCAGGAATGAGTAGCAAGTTGCAATTTTTTCATGGTATCTTATATTTCGGGGGGAATCATCGCTGTCCGCAAAAAGAAAAAAGCTCGAGTGGGCAAGGACAGATCTGAGTTTATTTTTGAGTGTCTGAATGTGTGATAATTTTTTGTGGAAGTCCAGCGCACAAAGAGGGAAAGAAGCAAGCCGCATACAGAACTCGGCAAGTATGATGAAGCAAAAAATGCCCAGAGCAAAAAGAGTGCAGACTCACGGCACCAGCAAAGAATGCGCGGGGAAAAAAAAACAAGATGGGCTCGAGTTTAACCCTGCAGAGGCTCTGGAATAGGTGCTTTGAGGACGCGTTGTTTGGATCAATGATTCAAGGCGGTAACTATGAATAAGGATCGTCCCTTTCAAACTTCAGATCACCCTTTTTCTCAGTTTTTGACACTAGTGACAGCGATTGTTGAGGGACTTATTAGGGGCTGTGTTGTGATAAATTGGTGGCAGTGCTTAAATTTGATTCAAAAATTTGTAGTTTTTTTTAGTGGCTGTAATGATTACTGATGTTATTTTCCATCAAAACGGGACCTGTCACCGAGTAAAACTTGGGGTGTAGGGTTGTGGCGTTGCCCGGCAGGACTCGTACTTATACTTTTTTTTTTCCCCCGTTACTTCGGTGATTTCTGATTTTAGACACCGATCACCGGTCGGCATCGAAGGCCTGCCGTGACTTTATGTTCTTTCTCTCACCATGTCGCCGTCTGCCAAGGTAAATGTATTATTTAGCCCCTGAGTATTCCGTTGAGCGGCGTGGTCTAGTATATAAGCAAATACATGTACCTAGATGTTGCCACCGTGTCTTTGGATGAGTTTTGAGTATAGAATATGACCTGCAACTTCGCTCCCATTCATTTAACAGCCCATGAAAGCCTCAGCGATATTTTCTAGGTGGGATCACTGGCACAACACTGCATAACAAAAGTCGGTCCTAAGCATTGAACAGGCCCACATGGCACACTATTCTAAGAGACAGAAAGGTTTTTTTTTGAGTATAGAATATGACCTGCAACTTCGCAAAAGTCGGTCCAAAGCATTGAACAGGCCCACATGGCACACAAAACTAAACTCAATTAAAGTGGAGATCAAGTACAATCGGCGTAAGTCGCAATATTAGAGGCAATAGCCACAAAGACGTAAAATATGTGAGATCGTAAGGTTCATGAATAGGAAAGAGTGGAAGATAGAAAAAAGGGGAAGGGAAGGGGAAGGG